GGGACACAGAGGAGTGGAGGGAAGCCGAGTGTATGGTTGCTCTTCCCCTCCAATTTGACTAGCAGAACTGACTGCACAGCAGGGAGACAGGAGCAAAGCCGCAGAGGCGGGGGACCCCGCCGCCTGTGCGGCTTTGCTCGGGTCTCCCTGCTGTGCTGGGGATTCCCCCCCCAGCACACCAGGGAGACCCAGAGCAGCTTTTCTCACCCCAGAGGACGCGGTGGCAGGACCGGTGCGCTCTGGGTGGTCCCGCCGCCCGTGAGCTCCGGGGCGAGAAAAGCCCCGTTCTTAAGTGCGGATCCGACATAAGTCGGATCTGCGTAAGTCGGGGACTGCCTGTATTTAGCATACCTACTTCTCTAGTATCCAAGCACAATATAATGCTTAGTATACCTACCTCACTGTGTCGAAAAACATTATATAAATTCTAAATATTAGACACTACTGAGAGAAGCATCCTCTCTCAATCTTGCAAATCTCATTTCCCCATCTGTAAGTATTGACTCAGCTTATCCCTGCTTAGTACGTAAGATCTAAGGGAACCACATCACAATGACTACAGTCTGTGTCGCATATTTTCCTCTGAATTTTGTCCAAATTAGGAATATTTTAATGTTGAACACATCACAGTCGTATTTATAAACTGCCACAAAGAGACATTCTAGAAGAAAAATGTAAAACTCACTTTTCCATGCAATCCATTCGCTTTAGAAAATGAAACTTCTGTAGATTTAACAGGCTTGACTTGGCAAGTAGATTCGTCAAATTTCAATCCATTTATTTCAGGATCATTATCTATACTGATAGCACCATTAACGGTAACATTTTTTGGCAGTTCATGCTGGGATACAGCCTCTTTAGCATCTTGACAGGAAGAACAGGAGTTCTGTAATGTACTAACTACATTTCCAATCAAAATTCCATTAAAAGATTTTGAGTGGCCAATCTCCTTAACTAATCCCTTCGACTCCTCATCAGATTCTTCTGAAGATTCTGCACCGTAAGGGACCAATGTACTAGAGTTTAGTTTAGAATTGCCATTCAATAATGGCTTAGAACAAGATTCGCTAGGAGCTGTTTGCTTAGATACTTTCATAGCAACTGACACTGTAGGTGCATTTGAGGTAGATTTTGCTGCAGAGGAATTTGTAATTGTGGATGAAGCAACAGGCTTGTTGAGATTCTCCAAAGAATTATGAAGGCTGGATTGAGAGAGAGTTTGGCGAGTAGGCAATTTGTTATTGTGAATACTGATAGTGATTTTCTGTTTTTTTGAGGGGTCAGGAGTAGTAGATCTGTTAATTGTCCAGTTTTGAATAGAAGTTGAAGGTGGAGCTGATGCTGGTCTGTTTAGGGTAACATTGCTAGCACTTGCCACAGAACTGCTTGGAGTTTCTTTTAGTGATCCAGTTCCATTTAAATGATTGGAATTCTGTAATTACAAAGAGGTTACTATGAAAATGTTTGCATATGGATAGACAGTATCTAATATCCCAAGACATTAAGAGCTTATTTGATGTTTCCACAAATTGCCTCAGTGGCTAAGCAAAAAACACCTCCGATTTGATATATAAATCTTATCAGTAGTTCAGTGCTCACATTTTTGTTCACAGATTTTCAGTGTTCACATTTTTTTTTGAAAAAGTTAATGTTGACTGCAATTCTTTGTTAATTGTTAGATACAAAAGAAAAATCCAAACAAGCCCCCTATTTTTGCAAACCATTAAACATTTGTACTAATAACTGAGAACATAATCAGTCTGGTTTCAGTCTGAACTGAAGTGCAAAAGATGAAACATCATAAATAAAGTTAAGCTGGAGTTTTAAAATTATTTTAGTTTTAATAAATTCAAGTATATGTCATTTTCTGAATACTTTTTGCACATAGTTTGAAGCAATGGGGAGTAATATTTGCACAGTTCAGTATTTGCCTCTATTACAGTGTTTCCAACTGCTTAGGTTGCAGAAAGCACTGTGCACAGAGCCAATATAGTAGGGAAAAAGAAATCCGAGATCCTGAACATTTATAAAAGATGAACAAGGGCTGTTTACAAAAGTCCTGCCATCAAGTTGATGATATTATCTACATATGAAGATTACCTTAATCATGTGAGGAGGAAGTTGTGGTCCAATAAATCCTGATGCTCCCTGCCTGCTATTAATCACCTGTTGACTGATAACTGGACGGGGAGAAGACTGTCCTGGTGTATGAATGGAATGGGTGTGTTCTCCATTTTTCGTATCATTGGACCTAAAGAAACAACTTCATTTATTCATTCAGTCAATTTGTTCTCTTGCTTAGCCTAGGCTTTAGACACATCCCACCGTATAAGAGCCCTGCAAATGCTCACATATCCACTTTATATCTGCAGATGCGGATGCAGATATCCACGGCTCATTTTTGCAAATACAAATTTTATATCTAGAAACCTGCAAATTAGAAGATATCTGCTTTATATCCACAGGTATCTGCATCCATTGATCATTTTTGCAGATGCACATTCTTGAATCTGTGCAGGGATACAATAATACTTTATATAAATCTGTTTTTTATATAATCTTTAACAAAGGCTACAAATTGTAAGCTACATAATAGATCTCCTGTTATAATTCCCAACCCCAAACAGCAACTCAACTTCACAACACCCATCACACCTCAATTTCATAGAATCATAGAACCATAGAGCTGGAAGAGACCTCAGAAGGTCATCAAGTCCAGCCCCCTGCTCTAGGCAGGACCAATCCCAACTAAATCACCCGGGCCAGGGCTTTGCCAAGCCGAGACTTAAACACCTCTAGGGATGGAGACTCCACTACTTCCCTAGGTAAACCCATTCCAGTACTTCACTACCCTCCTAGTGAAATAGTTTTTCCTAATAGCCAACATGGACCTCTCCCACCACAACATGAGACCATTGCTCCTTGTTCTGCCATCTGTCACTTCTTTCTCCATCCTCTTTGGAACCTCCCTTCAGGAAGTTGAAGGCTGCTATCAAATGCCCCCTCACTCTTCGCTCTGCAGACTAAACAGACCCAACTCCCTCAGCCTCTCCTCATAGGTCATATGCTCCAGCCCCCTAATCATTTTGGTTGCCCTCCGCTGGACCCTCTCCAATGTGTCCACATCCTTTTGTATTGGGAGGCCCAGAACTGGATACAATACTCCAGATGTGGCCTCACCCCTAGAGTCAACCAATTATACAGCATTTAATCCAGATGATTAAAAAAAGATGGAATTATAGATACATCCTTTCACTCTGTAGATAGTTTTTTCAGTGTGGGTGTAGGATGACAGATATTTAGCTTTACATTCCCCCCCCCCCCAAAAAAAAAAGAAAAGAAAAAAAAATTAGGCCAGACAGGGAAGGACAAGTTCTATAGCTTAAACTATAGGTGGAGTTTTATGGCAGACAGAGATGATTAACCAAATTGAACTTTTTTCACCACAAGAAGAAAAAATATGAAGGACAAGAAAGTAACTGAATCTTGAACATGTTTTGGTACTTGATATTACCTGATATAGAAGAGCACATAAGCTTGCTGATTAAGGACAGATTTGATGTCACTGTTGGATACAATAGAATCATTCATCTGGTACCAATGCCCATTACTGGCCTGCAAATAAATCAATGACATCTTTTAAATCAGTTACATCTGCTAAAAAAACAACACACATACCTAATTAACTGAAAAATAAAGAGCACTCTGAAATATAGTCATTTGCATTATGTACAATAATGATTTTTAAAAAAATTAAATCTCATATAGAGAGATTTGTTAATCACTAGCAAATGTTAGTGATATTCCCCTTCACTAGCGCAGACTTTACTCTAGCAAGGGAACTGTTCTCAAAAGTGGTTTTATTTTTTTAGAGAAGATCTCTTTTGCTAAAAACACTATCTTTTCAAGGACCCACACAACAAACCACATATACTACAATAAAGGGGCATTAAATAAAACTGGCAAATCCATAATTAATAAAAACACAATATAATCTATGGAATTCACATTCACAAGATAGAGGCCAAGAATTTAGGAGAATGTGAAAAAGCAATCAAGGTTTCTACAGATGTGAATACCAATAGATACAACAGAATAAACATTTTATAAGATATATAAACCCATTGCTTCATATCATACGCTAACACCCCGCCCTCGAACGGGGGATTAGGAAGTGACTAGTTTTATGGTCAATTTTTCTATAGATGTCCACATATCCTGTCCCATGAACTATCACACTATTTTATAGGCAGTTAGCAAAAAGAATACTGCAACCTTATTGGTTCTGAAAAGGAGCAGAATTAAGAATGCATTACACGAGTGGGGTCTTTGTTGAGTATGTCACTATGGAAGAGTCCTTTTACAGACAGCCATGAAGAGCTGAAGGGAGAGCTGCATGGAGGGAGAAACTATGTTTTAGATTCAGGTTAATTAGTTTCTCATGAAAGCAAAACTCTAAGTCAGTCAAATCTTCAAGAGAAAGAGAACATGTGAGAAAAACAAAATTAAAAAGGAGTAAATATTCTGTGAAACCAGGTAAATATTTTGCTTAGTAAACACACAATCTCTGCAAGAGTAAATTTTTAAATAAATATTCTAAGAGAAAGATTCTCAGAGTCTTGCCAGGAGTATAACCATTTATGAAGCAGGCAGAAGGGGCTAATTTACATGAGTGTATTACAGTAGTCAACTTGTTAAACAATTTATTCTTTAAGGGCCTACATGGTTCTCATTTCAGTGATGATTTCCTGATACCTTAATCAAGCAGAATCCTCTTTAAAACCATGCTTTATAGGGCTGCAGGACTGCTTCCTTGTAATGGTACCCATTCAGCACACAAGACTAAACAAAGCATAGACCCCAACTACCTTAGTACTTTCTCTGTTGCCTCAGAGCTCAAAGCATGTGTGCTGTATCATCTGACTTAGGGCAAAGTGTGAGATTTGCTAGATTTAACTTTATAAAGTTTCCTAGTTTAGATAAATTTAAGAAATTTCTCATCAGAGCAGTCTCATATTTTGAGCATCAATGGCTCAATTTGGTGCCAAGGTAATGCTCACCTCAGAGACCTGCAGAGAGTTTAAGAGATGCACTACATGCCTCTATATTTCCTCAAATCAAGCACATCTGTTGCTTGACTTATTTAAGTGAATTCCACTCTTCTGCTCCATACTCAGTTTGTAAAGCTATTGCACCATGTGCACATTAGAAGAGCATCAGGCTTAAACTAACGAGTTTCTAGATGCTGACAAATAAATAAATCCCTCTCTATCTGAGGGGCCCCAGGACTACAGGACCCACAGAGGGAGATGAGATACCAGGAAAGAGGAAGATTGAGAGATACTCAATCACATGACAACATTCCCAGGATTCTCAAAATCCATAAAAGAGTTTTATTATATGTATCCTGGCAGTATTTAATTTCTGAATTAGTAAAATGAAAATAAGATGAGGAATTGGGATTAGATTAAGAGAATTTTGATTTGTCTGTAACCTAACCCTTCCTTTTACTCTTACTTATCCTATTATAAATTTCTAGTAGCTCAGTCGGGTTTTAGTGAAGGGCATTACAACAATGGTCCCTGCTGGATGCTTCTAAAGTCTGATGGTGAAAGGACCACCAGTAATCATTTACTATTCAGTAAGCACGCAAACTGCACTCTGTAAGACACAAAGGAAGCCACCATCCCTGTCCCAATAAGTTTACTACCTAAACAAAAGATAGGCACAAACACTGGCAGAGGATCTTGCTAACTTAGAAAATCCTTTTTAAACAACAGAAAAATCCCTTAAGAGCATCCACAAAATTTTGCTGTCAAGCACTTGTGGGCCTCTGAAAACCTCCAACTAGAAAATTGCAGGACTGGGAACCTAGTTGTAAACTTGCTAGCATAACTGATAATCCATACTTGCACAACACGGAAGAAGTCTTGTTAGTTAAATGGAGGAATTTCATCTCCAACCTGAATTGAGCAGAAAAGTTCCTAACAGGAGAGGCCTTCTACAATGAAGAATGTTTCTAGACAGACAGATGTGAGAACAGATGATCCAACTAATAGGGAGAAGTGTCCTGGTCCTAACACTAAAAGCTAAACAAAATTAAAGGATTCAGTAGCACTAGGATGATGGTCTGAGATAGCTTTAAAAAGAACACAGGAAGACTCACTGTTTTTAATTGAAATAATTTGGGTAGTTCTGAGACTCCCTTGGGACAATCCACATCCAAAAAGTAATAAAGGATAAAGGGAATTTCTTTAGGAGGATGACAAAAAATGTATGCAAGATTCTGTGACCTTATATGGATGGAAACCTATCAAGATAGAGCTAAACAAACAGTCTGCCTCTCACAGTAAAGGTTGTATTGATGAAGACAAGAATGAGAAATTAATGTCTCCAATGCTTATTTTTGAAAGCTTGTGAGATTAAAAAAAAATCTGTTTATTAAAAAGGAAAAAGATGTTTATCATTACCTTTATATAGCAGTAGTAGTGTCCTGCATGACAGTTAATACCAGTATGCACCAGGACTGCATATAGAACATAAATAATTGGGTCTCCATTTGGTTGAGACATATATGGTCGAATATCCAGATACTCAGGATATTTCACATCCTAAACAGAAATAGAAGAGAAGGCTCAAATTTTGTTGAAATATGTTATGAACAATTATAGGAAGTTTAAGAAAGATTTCAGATGCTAAGGTAGAAACATTTCTAAAACTATTTACACGAGTCCAAAGTGTACAAATAAAACAAAAATGATGATTCAGTTTAATTTGGTAAATGATAGGTTCTCAAATGTCCAACACTGAATGGTATACTGAACTGCAGAATGGTGTGCTAAAAAGGCAGCTCTCGAAAGGCAGAGGAGGGGGTTTATTGTTGGTTTCATATGTATTGTTAAAATGGAACTCTACTAGTACTAAAAGAGGAAAAGACTGGCTTTGTATGGTTATTTGATATTAGAACATCTAAATATTAAAAAATGCAGACCATTTTATGTACCTTGGTAATTTTTCCGCCACTAAAATTTGAAAACCGTTTCAGAGACAACGTAAGAACATTAGAAGACCGATGTATTGTAAGCCTCTTTGAAGCAGGAACCATCTTCTTGCACCTTAAAAGCAAAAATAGGAACAGGATACAGACTTCGATGAATTTCTGGTTAATTGCCCATGACCTGTGACTTTTACTAAAAATAGCCATTACAAAATCTTAACCTTACTAATATGCTATTAATATTTTACCTCCTGGGTTAGAACATTCGCTTCCTTACAGTAATAACTTAGGGTACGTCTACAGAGCAGCATTATTTTGGAATAACTGATGTTATTCTAAAACAACATTGTGCGTGTATACACTACTAGCTTTTATTTTGAAATAATGTGGAGCTGGAGGACTTCTTGCTCCCACTCATGGTAACCCTCATTTCACAAGGAGTAAGGGAAGTCGAAGGAAGAGTGTTCTTCTTTCGACTTCCTGCTGCGTAGACAGTGCCAAAAGACAAATTAAGCTACTTTGATTGAAGCTACCCAATTGAAGTTGTTGAAGTTGCATAGCTTAATTCGACTTTAGCCCTGCTGTGTAGACGTACCCTTACCGATCAGGCAAGAACATTAGACAACTAAGTGTTGTAAATCTCTTTGCTTAACTGTACTTAGTTGAAATTATGACCTGTTTTGCATGTCATATTTGTACCTCTGTGTTCTTATCCAAATGTTTTAAACATACATTTTTAAGCTGCAAAAAGGAAGTTGGATTAAGTTATGTATCTTTCAATGTTATCTAGGGCATGCTGTGTGCCCACTGATAAAAAATCCTAAACCTAACGTGCTATTTAACATAGCTGTAATTTTTAATCTACTTTTTCACTTTTAAAATTGTATGATTGTTAACAAACAATAAGAGTATATAAACACTTGTGAGCCAAAATGAGTGCATATCTTAAAGACTTCCCCACAACAACCCCCCCAAATCTAAAAGAACAATTAGGAGACTGGCCTTATCAAAAAAAAATTTCCTAAGTGTTTTGTATTGTACTCGCTTGGATACAAGAAGTGAGATTTTACCTTTCATTGTGTTTCTGAATTAAGCAAAACACAAAAACAAACCCCTCCAGTAACATTTGTAATACATCAATAGAAAGAAACAAGCATCTAGTATTATGATGTCATTAATATCCATCTTACTTGCTACATTTATAGGCATTTTCACCATCCAGTTGTTCAGGCTTCACAAACTGTTCCAGAGCTTTGTTTAAATTCTGAGCTGCCTAAAATAGTAAGGTAACAATGCAATACATTAGAACATAACATATGAACTGCCATGCTAGGTCAGACCAATGATCCACCTAGACCAGTGTTCTATCAACAGCGGCCTATCCCTGGTGCTTCAGAAAGAATGAACAGAACAGGCAAATATTGAGTTATTCATTCCGTTATCTACTTCCAGCTTCTAGCCGTCTGAGACTACGTCCATCAAAGCATGGGGTTACATCCATGACCATCTTGGCTAGTAGCCATTGACTGACTTATCCTCCATGAGTTATCAGAAACATCATAAAAACATATTTTGCTTGCAATAATATGAACTAACATGGTTTTAACAGAGATCTACTGCAGACTACTGAATTTATGAACAAGAATAGGGAGAGGGAACAGCCAAATATATTACACCACAAAATGTACTTGGTTCATTTTGACAAATATAGATGAAGTTTAATTATTTATAATATTTCATAGTACTGTGGTAATGGATCTGTGGTACACACTGTAAAAGTAGTACACTTGTAATTGATCTGTGGTACATATATTGTAAAAGTAATAATGTTTTAACAATATGGACTCTTAGTATAACATTCTGCAATTAAATTAGCTTAAGTGGAAAGTATGAGATAGCATTGTTATGCCTGTGGATTCATGAATTCAGGATAATGTTCTACTTTAATACTTATCCATATTAAGTAAGCACACACACAGACTGTTTACCTTGAGGTACCACAGAAGGACAAAGTACACTATAAGTCACACCCTTGACAGAACTTTGTGACTAGAATCAATTTAAATTCTGTATTTTAGTTTTCAAAAATTAGGCAGTTAATTAAGGGTTTTTTTTTTAAGTTCTTCAGCCAAAACAATAAAATCATTTACCTTTATTTCCAATGTAATATCAAGGCATGGATCGAAGGTATCCGAGACTCCTTTGCAGTTCATACACTTTACTGAAATCAAAATATAAATGCTTAACACAAGAAGCAAAATCTATTGTTTTAGTTATCAGCACACATTAATTAGTATTTATGTTGGTGTAGTAAACAGGCAGCTTGTGAGACAAATCTGGACCACCAGACACTTTTGAACAAACCCTGAAATCTTTATATTTAGTTATTATCATAATTGTTATTTTTTATTATTTTGTCTGAAGTCTGGACCTTGACCAAAAAATTAACAAGATGATAAAAAATGACTAGCCCTAGTTTCAGTCATAAGGCCAACCTATTTCTAATTTTTTTTTTTTTTTTTTTTTAGCAAAGTACCTCTGGATCTTAAGTACCCTCCAAATATTTGATAGATGAGTGTAGTAGCCTGGGTATGTCTGTCCAATCTGAAAATAAATTTTGCAGTGATTAGAAGATTAAACTCCATTTATTGTTTCCTCTTTTGAAATCCCAGAACATGACAGCATATTCAAATAATATTTTGCTAGCACTTACTTGTTGCTTCCATTCAAACATGCTTTCTGCATAGCATCAACAGTGTAGTGTAGAAATTCATGAGCATCTTCCTGATTTCCAAACCGGAAATGTTTTGCTATGCCTAAAAATAAATATAAATGTCAAGTTGTTGAACATGTGGAAATGGATGAAAAGATGGGATTTCTTAAACTTTCCTTCCTAAAGCTATAAAAAATCCCATTCCATAAACAATTAAATCGGACAGACAAACCAATAAAATACCTAACACAAAGATGGCATTTTATAAATAATTATTTGAAATTACTTACGTCTAAGATCACCGATGACAGCCGTAGGTTTGATGACATTGCCAGAGTTAGAGAGTACCTGGGTAATGTGAGATTGCATTGTACACATCATGCAGAATCCATGTTCATGACCTGAGAAGTGAAGCAACACTGCATCTCAAAATTAATAAAATATTTATCTACAGAAGACGTCAAAAAATCTTGAGCTTTTAGAATAATTTTGTGGAGATTATTCCTTTTTCAAAACTGAGAACTAAAAAAACCCTAGTTAGAAATAATAATAGCATTTCTTAGCATTGGTATAGGAAGACAGAATAGGACAGGAGGCTACTAGACCAACCTAGAATTAAAATAATGATGATATTGGAATAAAACACCATCCCATAGGAAAAACTGCAGTAAAAATTTAAATTTTGCCATTAATTGATGCATCATATCTACTACTAATAATCTCAAAGAACAAACAAACCAGAAAAAATAAATGTTTGAATTAAGATTTTTTTAAATGAAGGCAAGGAACAAAGATTCCCAAGATCTGAATACCACCTCACTGAAGTAAGTGTTTGGATAGATATGGAGCCTATATCAGAGATAATCTGCTTCCATCTTTCTGTTTATCAGTTTAACTATTTAGACACTGAACATTTGTGTGTGTGTTAAAGAGCTATGCCTTAATTCTGTTTAGTATAACAACAGTGAGGCAAAGTGAAAAGTAGACTATTCAGCAAAACTGAATATAGCCAGTGTCCTAAATCATGTCACCTTTCAACAAGATTATGGCTACCAGCAGGAGACTTATGACAAATATTCATTATGCATATTATTTTCTAAATCACCTAAAAATTCAAACAAGGGAAGAAATACTTCTTATTCTGAAGTTTAAGTATCATACATAGACTGCTCCATAAGCCCACTAATAATGTGATATTCAAAATTCACACCTTCATGCTGAATAGCAAAATCAGGAGTTTCCTTTCCAGAATGACTGTGCTGCTTTCACTTCTACAGCTGATAAGAATTTTTTTAAATATACATTTTTAAAGAACTCACATGTTTTGGAGTGTTCATGAGAAAGCATGTAGTTGGCAAGAGGGGGTGTATAAGTCAAACACTGCAGAGCAGAGTTGAGGAAACATGTATTGCCAAGATTTTGGAGTCCAGCTCCAACTCTATGAGTTTGCTGCCATTTCAGACAAATCTTCTCTGCTGGAAAAAGAATTTTCTGTGGTGGAGCAATTCCATCACTAAAAGCTGCCAAAAAAAGCATTTTAAGATATTAAATTGTTTAGTTTTAAAATCATGCTAAATACCTTATGCATGAACATCTAAACCTTTAACAGAACTAATAATAATCCACATTCTAATAATGACTTGATGAGAAATCTGTTAAAGATTGTCTCACTATCACAAAGCAAGTTCTCAAGTCAACTCGAGCTCACTAAAAGATACGGTTTTGTATGGCACCTGAAAAAAATTAAGTGTGGAATGCACTATTACATATATATAAAAAACTTATTTTTTCAATTAAAAGACTAATTATTGCCCTGATTTTAGTAACCTAACTCTAATTCCTTTCTTATCTAGCTTCCGCAATCTGACTCATAATTCAAATTACTTTTTCCTTATTGTAAATTACAAGTAAATCTTATAATTCTTATAGTTTAATAATTATAAATATAAAGCATAAGGATACCAAAGCAAAGCAAGTAACAAACACTATATGTAAACCTTAATGATAGTATCAGGAAATATTGGACCGGATGGGTCCTCAAAAGACCAACTAGTTCAGTCCCCTCCACTGAAGGCAGGACTACCACGACCCCCTTTGACAACAAAAATTGCTTCCTGACCACAGAAGGGGGGGGGACCAAAGTCCCTAAGTCCCACTGCCCTGGTTGGGAAAAATGGTCAGAGCTGAAGCCCAAAGGCCTATAGGCTGAGCCTCACCCACCCAGGACTGAATACTTCGGACTTTGGCCCCAGCTCCAGCAAGTCTAAGTCAGCCCTGGCAACACCATTAAAACGGGGGTAACCACCAACTTTGGGGTCCCAACTCTCAGTTTGAGAACTGCTAAACTAGACCATTCCTAATCGTGTCTAACCTGTTCTTAAAACCTTCATTCCACAATCACCCTAGGCAATTTTGTATCAGTACCTAATTACTTTAACAGGAAGTTTTTCCTAATGTCCAATCTATACTACAATTTAAGCCCAGTGTTCCTTTTCCTATCCTCAGAGATTAAGAACAACAATTTTTTACCCTCCTCCAGTGATGTGGATCTTGGCACCAAGTCATTTAGGAGGAATGTTATATTTCAGACAACTCTAAATAATACAGGTCACAAAACAACACTGATAAAACACATACTTCACTACAGAAAAACACCTGAGTAAAAAGGTATACTTTAAGTAATGGAGAATCCCTCCTTTCCGTCCCTCAAAAAGTTTCCTACATTGATTGTAAACATGTTCAAATGAAGTTCACAACACTGGTGACTTAAAATGCCAAACTTACATGGTTCACAAAATTAAAGTCTGCTGCTACAATCCTTAATCAAAAACAGTCCTATTTTATATCGATTGTAATGAGTAAGAACTGCAAGATGACGATGGCAGACTCTACTAAATAGTATCTGGTTTTATTTTTTCATAATGTATAGGCTAGAGTATAGAATGCACTTACATTGATCTTTCTGAGCTGAAGGTTTTGATTTATCAGGTACAGATGAACTAGAATAAACCGCAGCACCAGGTACTGGTCCCAAAGTGATCTTGTGCTTTGGAGCTTCCAAAGATGATACAGCACCCCAATTTGCAGAGGCCGAGTCCATATCTCCAGAAGAAGGTACCGTGGAGCTACCAGGCTGCTTCTGACAAGCTGCAGAGTTTGAAGACTCAGATACTTTGTCAACTATGGTCATTGTTCATCTCTGTAACACAAAATTAAAAATCCTGCTTGATACGAAAACAAATATTACTTGAAAAAGCACACCACAAGGAAAAGACTGGTAATGGTCACACTTTTCTCTTAATGAAACCAATTCTCTTTGCCAGACGGAAATAATTTAGAGAACTAAATCTTGTATGTGAATATTTCTAAAATGCACCCCTGACATACAACACAAAGTTTTCCAGTGGAATTATACAACTACCTCATTTTTCCAGTAGCCAGCAAACCCCTGTGAAAATAGCTCTTAGGTATACTTTTCATTCGGCTTTGACTGCAACAGTATATTTGTCACAAAAGTGTAAACTGGTCAACCATTTTTTTAATTTGGTATTAAAATTTTGTAAAACAACTGAAGAAGGAATACAAAGACAGAGAGACCAAAAAATAAAATTGTTTTAAATGTCTTTTGCAAGGCTCTAGAATAAAAAACATTTTAAAACATGAAATTTTAATCCCTAACTGATTACACTAATATTGGATTTACCAAGAGAGACAAATTCAACATGTTTTTATTAAAAGTTTCTGTCATATGTGTATAAATTAGTCTGGGATTATCTAAGTTACCTACAAAATGAGAACATTCAACCACCACTCTCACCCCTCCTTTCCAAATGATGATTACAATCTATATATCTAATCGAAGTCTCTGGCTCACTCGGTCTCGAATAAAATTCTCTCAAACACCAAGTTACAGATGCAAGCCCTGATACACAATATGCAAGTGCCATCTCCTTAAGTCAGTTTTTCAAGTTCCCAATCAAAAAAAAAGAAAAGATGCTTCAATAATGTCCATCAATACACTTGGAGTAAAAGTAGTTAAAAGCAAAAGAAGATGAAAAAGAAAAGAATACCAAATAAAAACTAAGTATTTTAAGAACATTATAGTCAAGACTTTTTATTTTTAAGCTTTTTTGAGAAGTAATGATTAACAAATACTTTGAAATTCCCAGGAGAAAAATACTACAAACATCCTAGGTATTATTCCTACTACGAATAAATTAAATCCTTCACTTGTTCCAAATGTGTAACTTCTACTGGCTAAAAAAACCCTGCAACATCAGGATAACTTCTTAGTTTAAAAAATGAATAGCACAGGACTACAAATATTTCTATTATTTCCTCTACATATTCTTCCACATGCATCTACAAATTATTCTATCCCTGAAACCACTTGGAATATTTTACCCAATCCACTTGCCATTATAAATGTATTTCCTTATACACACAATGCCTTATTGAATCTGTCCCCATGTAGGATTTAAAAAGTAATAACAGATGTAATTACTTGCCACGAAGTAGCACTGAATTTTGCATCACCGTGGTTAAGATCATGTCAACCCCACACACACACACACACACACACACACACACACACACCCCTCCCCCCTCCCCCCCTAATACTATTTTGCTCAGGTCCTTAACTCAAATAATTTTTGTTTTTCTTCATTTAAATCATTGTTCTGAGATGGGGTAGGGGATGAGGAGTTCAGTATGGAGGCTGCACTGGGGGGAGAGCTCAGCCATGGCACCCCCCTGCTCATCCCTATTAATTAGTTAACCAGTTAAATGTTAAATTCAACAGATTAAAATGGGATTTTACATCCCTGGTCTGTACCACACCTTTTCATGACTTAATATACATATGTTAATAGCGTGGAACTACATACTACTGATTACAAAGAAGAGCTTTACATTACAGATATCTAACAACTAGTAAAATAAACTTTATTTGGGTCTTAACCTGATTTTAGGCGTCACAGTTTTTTAAACAGTAAATAAAAAGCAGCAAGCCATCAAAGCCTAAAAATACAAAATTAAGACTATCATTCTACCCCTAATTGGAAGCCAATTATATGTCATAACCTTAGAGTTACTTCAAATAAACATTTTTCTATGTCTTATAAAGCATGCATAAACTTCACTTGAAAGCATTATGGTCTCACACATCACCACCTGTCTGAAGGCTGTGCAAGTTAAACAAAGGGAGAGTCTGAAAAAAAAAGTACAAATTGAAGTCTTTCTTCACTTCCATTTCAAAACTACAATTTTCTTCAAAACAGATCCAAAACAACTATTTTATATGTCCATTCTTACTTCAGTTCTCAGCTGAACACATTTTTTCTCCTACCTTTTCTTTCCCTCCAAACCTTATGTTTTCATTACTATTCTGAATATTTTCATTTATTCACACCACAGATTTTTAACCTAAGAGTTTTGGGTCATTTTACTTCCACTCTCCTAATATGTAAAAAGAATTTGGGAAGGAGGATAGAATGTACATAAAGGATGCAACCCAAAGTACTTTTCTAACTACACACAACACATAAAGCACCAGTGAAATGAAGGCACCTATAAGGGAGAGGGTGGCACCCAGCTGACACACTAGACACTGCACTCAAATATTTTAGAAAGAAAACATAACTACAATTCTCTCTCCTTTCCCTCCAAAATATACAATCCAAACATCAGTAATATGTTGCTAATATAAAAAAAATGTCAGATACACCCCTGTAAGCTGAGCTCTTGGGCAGCCAAGATTCAAATGCTGCTCAACTTGATTAGCAGAGCACCCATAGCCAGCAATGTTTCTACTGGTGGTGCACAACTGCACATGCCTCGGTGCACATAACATTTATTCTGCACATGGATGGAAAAAATTAAAGGCAACACTGAAGGCCTATACTCTGCAGCAGCTGCGGAGATGGATTGGGTGCTTTAATGGTCCTTTTCCAACTACTGCCCATCATGAGCCTATTGTGCTGGTGCCATTAAATCATCCACACCAAACCCTGAACACTACAGTCCGGATGTCAACGTTTGTCAGTCTCTGTCTGAGATTTCAATGGGGGGGGGGGGGGAAAGGGGCGGCCCAAACTCTGGGCCTAGTCACAGAAGATGAACCAAATAACGAACGCTGGCCTCAGTTTGTTCCTCTGGTTAGGGCCTGAATCCCAGACACTGGGCGAGGGAAGACGCGTCTGTAAAGGAATCGCCCATTTGAGAGACAGTGTCCATGGCAACCAAGCGGGGAGTAACAGTACAAGAGAAGCGGCCCCCCCCATCACACCGAAGGAAAGAATGGGAGGGGGGAGTCACGAAAGAAACCGCCCACTGCTAAAATGGGGAGCCTGGGGCGGGGGAACCGGTACCATTAACCCCCCTCCGCGAGTCAGGGCAGGGAAGCGGGAGCCCCACGCTGGACTCGGCGGAGTGGGCGGCAACCCGAGTCTCCCAGCCCCATGTGGCGGGGCGATGGACCCCCTCGGGCGGATCCCCCGTCAGTAGGGAGGCAGGGGCGGGTAACGGAACGCGGCGGCCAGAGGGACCCCTGCGAGCAGCAGGACACCCGGCTCTCGACGGGAAGCGGGAATCGCCTCCCGCCGGGGCAGGGACGGGGCTGGTCTCCCCAGTCTGGCGGCGGCGAAAGGGTTCAGTCCCGCTGCGCTCCTGGGGGCGGCGCCCTGCCCGGCCCGGGGGTCCCTCCCCCCTTTACTGCCCGCAAGGAGAGGGAGGGGGGCGGGG